TGTTATTGTAGATGCTATGGCCTAGTCTACACCTAAAATTTTAGGGTCTCTCTACACTAGAAACTCTACAGCACTGCAGCAGCACCACTGTAGTGCTCTAGCTTAGGCTGTGTCTACACTGCGCACCTTACAACAGTGTGGCTGTGCTGTTGCAGGTGCACCATTGTAAGGTGCGCTGTGTGGCCGCTTTTTATCGCCAGTAGAGAGCTCTCCCAACGAGGGGCAGTAACTTCATCGCTGAGAGTGCAGCTCCCCACAATGAAGCGCTGTCCACACCAGTGCTTTTTGTGTTTTTTCACACCCCTAAGTGACAAAAGTTTTAGCGACAAAAGTGTTACTGTAGACAAAGCCTTAGACACTTAATACAGTGACAGAAGGGGTTTTTCCGTTGCTGTAGTAAACACACCTGTCCAAGAGGTGGTAGCTAGGTTAACATAAAAATTCTTCTGTTGACCTAGTGGCGTCTACGCCAGGACTTAGGTCAGATTAATCACAATTGCACAGGGAGTGAAATTTTTCACAGCAATGTAGTTAAGACAACCTAACTTTGTGGTGTAGACCAGCCCTAAGGTCGATCTAGCTACATCATTCAGGGGTGTGAAAAATTCATATCCCTGAGAGACATAGTTAAACCAACCTGAGCCCAGGTGTAGACACCACTAGGTCGACCGAAGAATTCTTCCATCAACCTAACTACTGCCTCTCGATGGGGTAGATTTACTATAGTGACAGAAAAACCCTTTCCATCATTGTAGGAAGTGTCTATGCGGTGGGGCTGGGGCTTGGGCCCTCCCACCCAGGGCAGCGGGACTAGGGCAGGCTCAGGCTTCGGTCCCCCTCACCACCCAGAGTCATGTAATAATTTTTGTTGTCAGAAGAGGGTCGCACTGCAATTAAGTTTGAGAATCCCTGGTTTAGACAAGTAGACACCAGAGACAAGTTCTCTATTATTGGTGTGGCAGGCTTCAAGTCTTTGGATATTTTCATTTTTAAAAGGGTGATTCTTTTGAGGGACAATTAGTTATGTTGAAGAAGACCTCATATTGTATAACCAAATTGACTTGCATATACAAGGCCTGTTATTAATCCACCTTCCCCTAACTTCTGTCCACTTGTCTTCCCAGCCTTAGATTGTGCATTCCTTGGAGTACCTGACATTTCTTCTTGAATGTTTGGAAATGGCATGCATTGTCTGCACTACTATAAACAAATATTACTTTAAATAATAAGAAGCAATGCAACATATTGATTGAAAATATAAATTTGAGGGAATGAGAAAAGATTAAACAGATACTTAGAATATTTCTTAAATTTGAATCCCAGTGTAATTTCAGTCTTTTTATCTCAGAAACTTCAGTGAATTTGTATCTTATTTGTAACTTCTGAATAAATTCTGTTTCTTATTACTGCAAGATGTATATTTTTGAAATGATAAACAATTGTTAATAATGGATGGATCTAATTGAAATGTTTATCCCACAGCATGAAAAGTAAAATAAGTTAGTGCTCAGACACTAAAATGTAAATTGTACATCCAGGGTCAAAATCTTTCTTGCCATACTCATTTAAGTATTTCAATTGACTTCAATGGGACTATGGGTATGAGTAAAGCAAGCCGCATTTGGTTCCCAGTCTTAGAAAGCCTGACTTGAATATGCCTAGCATATATATTTTCTAGCAGCTGATTATAAATAAGTAGCTTTATTGATGCCAAAAGTTCCAGGTAGAATGAGTCTGTCCTGTGACTGTATATAAACATCAAGTAGCATGAATCCTAACATTTCATTTGCTTTCAGTGGAACACTAACTACCAAGAGCAGCATAGCTGAGAAGATACAGAGGCAAAAGATACCAGCCTTTACCCCCTTTTCATTCACTTTTCTGCCTTTATTCATCCTGCCCATTATACCTGCAACACCTTCCCTGTTCTTGTCTACCAAGGCACTATCCTCACCTCATTTTAAGTTGTGCTTTAAAAAAAAAAAAAAAATCTCACTTTTCCTGCAATGTCTACAATAAATGAGTCCGTTATTTTCATTGGTTTTAATGTGACCTGTTTTATTTTCCCATTAAAAAAGAAAAACACGAAGATGTGTACATCTTATAGCAAATAGCTGCATTATGCTATTGCTGTAACCCCCATTCTCCCTTACACTATCCCCCGCCCTTCTGCTGTAATCCTTACTGATAGTGTTATGTCTAAAACAACAAGGAGTCTGGTGGCACCTTAAAGACTAACAGATCTGTTAGTCTTTAAGGTGCCACCAGACTCCTTGTTGTTTTTGTAGATACAGACTAACACGGCTACCTCCTGATACTTGTTATGTCTAAGGTTATGTCTACACCATAGGCAGCAGGTATAATAGGCCTTCCCTGGCACAGCTGCTGTCGCAGGACGCCATTTGCGGGTTTTTACTTATGTGACATGCAGGTTCCGGGGCGACTGAGGAGGCAGTATCTGCTATTCAGCTTCCTGGGTTCATCAGTAATCTCCCTTGACTCCAGAGACATTACTGATGAACCCAGGAAGCTGAGTAGCAGATACCACCTCCTCAGCCGCCCTGGAACCTGCATGGCGTGCTGCATATATAAAAAGTTCCCCATTCTTCCGCTAGGCGAGGCGTGCTGCCTTTCTCATTCTCCGGATGGCACAGGGCTGGCTCAGGCCAGCACAGTTGGGGGTGGCTTGGGCTGCTGATGCCCAGGTAGGGCACTGGTGTTCCTCTGGTGGTGGAGGACCGGGGGGGGGGGGGGGGGGGTTCCGATGGGCCCTGGGCTTCCCCGGATGCAGGAGAGGCAGTTGGGGGAGCTCAGGGCTCCGCTGCATGGGGCAGGGCCTCATGCGGAAGGGGCGGGGCCAGGGGGCTAGCCTCCCCAAAGGGGGTGTCCACCTGCCACCCATGGTCTACACTACAGCCTATGTCAGCAAAACTTATATCACCCTGGGTGTGAATATTCCACACCCCTGAGCGACATAAGTTACACTGACATAAGCACTCGTGCACAGTGCTATGTCAGTGGGAGAGCTTTTCCCACTGACAAAGTTTATGCTGCTCACGGAGGTGGTTTTTTTATGCCAACAGGAACACTCTCACTGTGCTGCTGCAGTGCTGTACGTATAGACATGGCCTAAGAGTGGGTTGTCAAAGGCTTGCCTACACTTGAAATGCTACAGCATGTCAGTGTAGACACTAGCTATACCGATGGGAGGGGTTCTCCCATCAACGTAGGTAATCCACCTCCCCAAGAGGCGATAGCTAGGTCAACAGAAGAATTCTTCCGTCAAGCTAGTGCTGTCTACACAGGACTTAGGTCAGCTTAACTACATTGCTCTGGGGTGTGAATTTTTCACACCAATGAACAACATAGCTGGGTCAATCTAAGTTTCTAGTGTAGACCAGTGCCAACTCTTCAGAGAAGAGGAAAAATGCTGTCCCTATCCAGAAGAATGTACCACACATTTGAGTACTATAAAATAAATAAGTTGAAAATATTTAACTTTTCCTAACTGAGCAGCATACTAAATGTATTGACTGCATTTACAGCAGGAGATAATTTTTCAAATGTCGTTAAATTATAAATGTTTACAATTTGTAAATATCTTAGGAATGGTTGGGAAAGAAATCCCTAGAGTCCTAAATCATATGCCTATTCACCAATCAATCCTTCCTCTTTGGACACATCATAAACCACTCGCAGGTGCTCAAGTAAAATCTTGGTGCATCTGCTACAACTAGAGTAAAATGCACAAAATAGGGTGTGTCTAGGATTGGAACTGTTTTCTCCTTCCCCCTAGAAACAAATAGAGAGTCCTCTGTTGCTTTTTACAGATCCAGACTAACACAGCTACCCCTCTGATACTAGAAACAAATGTCCATCACTTTAAAAATAGAGGACACAAGCCACTGAAGAATATACTGTAAGGAAAAATCCTGCACTAGTCCCTACAGGACAAAGCATGACCTAACATTTTGTTCCATCTCCAGTTACTATATTGATCATAGACTTTTGTATGTTAAATCTCTTTGGAGCAGGAACTTTGTTTTCTGCCTTTTCTAAAGGGACAAGCTGCAGAACACACTAAATCTGCAACCTTGGGAGAGGAGGCTGTACAATCAGGATGGAAGAGCTGAGCATTACAAAGACAAAAGGAACTATGAAAAAGTAAAACTGGATGTGTGCCTATGTAGAGCGGCTAATGCAACAGGGTCAGTGTTTGAGAGGTGCATTAGAAATGCACAACATAAAATAAATCGTTTGTTGGATGACACTCCAGGGCCCTCACTCCCTCCTTACACAGCTCTTTCATTCTCCCACGTCCCCTCACACAGCACTCAGCCCCCATCCCCCCACACACCCACTTCTCCACCCTCGTTACACGGCACTCCCCCCCCCCCGCCCAATGCCAGCTCCCCTACGCACAACTCCCCCCTTCCCTCAGCCCCGGGGAGGGGAGGAAAGCGGTTCCCAGCCCCCTGCCTGGCTCTGGGCGCTGGTTTGTCCGCTCGCAGAGCCTCGCCCCAGATACGGCCCCACAATCCCCGACAGACGGTGGGGCGGGGGAGCAGCCTCAGCACCGTTATACGGCCCAGTCTGCGGCAGCGGCCCCATGCTGGGGCCCAGTCTGCGCTGCCGCAGGCCCCGGTGCCGCACCCACCTCCGGGCCCCCAACAAATCACCCCCGACCCCCGCAAAGGCTCAGCTGCCGCGGCACCCCCCCGCGGCCCCCCCCCCCCCCCCGGCTACACGCAGCGCGCTGGGATTTGTAGTCCGCTCCCGCCCGCGCGTCTGCTGGCTATCACAGAACGCGTGAACCCCAGAACTACATCGCCCATCCTGCTTCGCGGCAGAGGCGCCGCACCTCCCTCCCCCCGCGGCCGGCAGGAGAGAAGAACGTTCAGTCACCAACGCCGCTCGCGCCGCGGCCCCTGTTAGGTTTTGGTTCGCGTCCCTGCCCCAGCAGCCTCGATGGGCGCCGCCTAGTGAGCCCCTGCCTTTACCTGGTGGAGTCACCTCCGCCTCTGACCCTGGGTGCGTGCCCGCGGGCGGGGGGCGCAGCCCGCAGGCTCCGTTAGCCCGTGGCGTGCGCGCTGCGGCGGCGGCTGGTTGCCATGGCGGCGAGGGGCGACGCCCGGCCATGGTGCCTGGGCATCCCGCTGCTCCGCCCCGCCCCCCGCCCAGAGAGAGGCGAGGGGGGGCGGGCTGGTCTCCCCTGAGGGGTGGATGGAACCGAGACCCCTTCCTCACCACACCCGGGCGGGGGGGCTGCCCCCACAAACCCCCCCACCTCTGCCCGCCACACCCGGGGGGCAGCGTTATCCGCCCCCACAGACCCCCCCCCCACCTCCACCCACCACACCCGGGGGGCAGCCTTTTCCACCCCCCACAACCCCCCCACCTCCGCCCACCACACCCGGGGGGCAGCCTTTTCCACCCCCCACAGCAACACCCGGGGGTGGTGGTTACCCGATTCCATAGACACCACCCGTCATGAGACTGTTTAACAAGCTCCAGACTCCTTGTTGTTTTTGTAGATACAGACGAACACGGCTACCCCCTGATACTTTAAAAAGCTGAAATGGTGATTTCTGGCCTGTCTGATGACTCACAGACACACCCCGTCTGTCCACCCCCGTTCCCAGCCCACCTGTGCTCCATCCTCCCACGTATCCACACGCTGCCTGTCTCATCAACACCCACACACTGCCTGTGCCGTCCTCCCACATATCCACACGCTGCCTGTCCCCCCCAACACTCACACTCTGCCTGACCTCTGTCCTCCCATGTATCCACAGATTGCCTGTCCAGTCCACCCCCCACAGCCCGCCTGTCCCCTGTCCTCCCGCGTACCCACACGCTGCCTGTCCCCCCACAGCCCACTTTTCCCTCATCCTCCCATGTACCCACATGGTATCTGCCCCCCCCATATTGCACCTGTCCTTCCACATACCCATACGCTGTTTGTGAGTCTGTGTGGTGGAAGCTGGCACTCACCCACCAAACTTCCAACAGATGGGAATGTTTTTTAATCTTGCTGAGCTGGGCTGAAATCAAATTGGTGATGCACAGGGGAAAGGCTCTATGGCAGTGGGTCTGAAACTTTTTTACTGGAGACCCCTTTCACATCGCAAGCCTCTGAGTGCGACCCCCTAATAAGTTAAACACACTGTTTAATATATTTAACACCATTATAAATGCTGGCGGCAAGCCGGTTTTGGGGTGGAGGTTGACAGCTCGTGACCCCCCATGTAATGACCTCACGACCCCCTGAGGGGTCCCAACCCCCAGTTTGAGAACCCTGGCTCTATGGCTCATTAGCAATGCCTTCACACATCCAGTCTCCAATAAGTAAGGCTAAGATTATGTGACTTCTGTGACCTCCATGACATCTGATGCTTCAGCCATTGGCAGCGCGTATCATAGGCTGGGGGAGGCTAAGCCTCCCCAAACAGCCCCATGTGGCCCTGCTCACGCTCCACCTGAGGCCCCTTCCTGCTTGCCGCTTCCCCCTCGGCCCCAGCCCAGGCAGGCTGCTCCTCTTCTGGGGCAGCCAGCCTGCGGCTGGGACTTGGGGCAGCTGGGGCCACCCAGCACTAGGGGGACCCCGGGCGCGCCACCTGGTGTTCCAGGGCTGGGGGCGGCTGGAGGCACTGGGGCTGCTCACCCTATGCTGTGGGGGATGAGAGGTGGGGCCATGGCACCCGTGCTGGGGAGTGAAGCCTGCCTAGGAAACTAGGGCTGCAGGAGGAAGAGAGCTCCAATTGGATTTGCAAAAAACTATCCTCCATGGCCATTTGCAGAAATAAAGCCCATATGCCTACCGAGCGCTTGCTGTTCATGGTAAAGCTCCATACTGGTGCTTAGGCCACCCAGCAGTGGGGTGATGGCGCCTGGTGCTCCAGGGCTGGGGGCCACGCCCCACCTACCCACACAGCGCTCTGGGGCTGGAGGTGCTCGGGCATCCTGGGGCTGGGGGGGGGAGGGGGCCTTGGGCAGAAGGGGTGGGCTGGGCTGGGGGCTAGCCTCCCCAAGCCCACGGTTCACCCGCTGCCCGTGTCTACAGCCCCAGGGTGGTGGTGGGGTGGGAGCTGTCAGCCATCGTGGGCCCAGGAGCTGTGAACTGCCATGTGTGGCAGGGGCCCCAGCAGCTCCCAGCCACTGATGGGGGACCCAGAGCTCCCAGCCGATATAAGCGGTGAGGAGACCCACAGCTCCAAACCACCAGCCCCGGAGCCATGGGCGGCAGGTATCATAGGCAGGGGTAGGCTGTGCCTCCCCAAACAGCCTGGTGTGGCCCCGCCCATGCTCCACCCCCAGGTCCCCTTCTGCAGTTCCCAGTGCTCTGCCATGCTCCACAAGGCTGGCTGGGGCTGGAGCTGGCCGGCCTGCCTCCCACAGGGACTCGGGGTGGCTGGTGCTAGGACCGCGCTACCTGCCCAGCGCTCGGACCACACTGCTCGGCACTCCAGGGCTGGGGGCGCTACGGCCACGCCACATGGCTGTCTGGGATACCGGGGTTGGGGGCAGCTGCCCGGCACCCCAGGGCTGGAGGTGCTGCAGCCATGCTGCCCGGATGCCCGGTGCTGAGGCCATGGCGGGGACCTGGAGCTCTGAGCCGCCAGCCTCAGAGCTCTGTGCTGTTGCTGGCACAGGGGGGCACCCCAAGCTCCCTGCCGCCGCGCACAGCGGGGAGACCCCAAAGCTTCCAACTACCAGCCCTAAAGCTCCGAGCCAAAGACCCACAGCACCGAGCCGCTGCAGACAGCTGGGGGACCCCGGAGCTCCCAGCTACCGCTGACACCAGGGAGACCCCGGAGCTCTGAGTGGCAGCGGGTGCTGGATCCTCCTCCCCCTTCCTTCCCGCAGCAGAGCTGGGGCTCATCACCATTTTGTCACAGTTATTTTTAGTAAAAGTCAGAGACAGGTCATGGGCTTCTGTGAATTTTTGTTTATTGCCTGTGACCTGGTCTGTGACTTTTATTAAAAACAACAGACAAAATCTTAACCTTACCAATAAGAGCTAATTTTACACCTTGGCAAATGAGGTTTGCTTTCTGAAGATAAATTAATTAAATCAAGTTCTGACCTTTCTGGAGTTTACACAGGTAGGATTTTCCACTCTGGACATGCAACCAAAATCAAAAATTGCTCTCAGTCTTAAGCCTATTTTGACAGACAAAAAAGGTGTGTTTTTCACTCATTAGGTCAAATTGAGTTAGATTAACCCAGCTGAAAAGCCCTCTTAACATGACTTCAAACATGTTAGGTTGAGTTAACTGGCTCTGTTGTAGCCTAGGATTTTCAACTTCAAATGTAAAAATCGACAAAGAGTCCTGTGGCACCTTATAGACTAACAGACGTATTGGAGCATAAGCTTTCGTGGGTGAATACCCACTTCTTGGTTTTTTTAAAAAATATTTCCACTCCATATGGCTAAATGCAGTACCTTGCATGGTGTCAAGTATCAGAGGGGTAGCCATGTTAGTCTGGATCTGTAAAAAGCGACAGAGTCCTGTGGCACCTTATAGACTAACAGACATATTGGAGCATTATGCATTATGCTCCAATACATCTGTTAGTCTATACTGTGGCGCCTTATAGACTAATAGAGGTATTGGAGCATTATGCATTATGCTCCAGTACGTCTGTTAGTCTATAAAGGTGCCACAGGACTCTGTCGCTTTTTACAGATCCAGACTAACACGGCTACCCCTCTGATACTCAACTTCAATTGTGTTAACCTTCATTTTAGCACTCCTTAAGAAGACTTGTCAATTGTGTTATGTTAACTTGATTGAACTAATTTGATAGAAAATCATATATTTTTGCCCATCAAGACATGGCGAAACATACTACTGTAAACCAGTAGCTCTCAACCTTTCCAGAATGTGATTTGTTTTGTGTACCCCCAAATTTCACCTCACTTAAAAACAACTTGCTTACAAAATCAGACATACAAATACAAAAATGTCACAGCACAGTATTATTGAAAAAATGCTTACTTTCTCATTTTTACCATATAATTATAAAATAAATCAACTGAAATATAAATATTGTACTCACATTGTACTCATGTATAGTATGTAGAGCAGTACAAACAAGTCGTTGTCTGTATGAAATATTAATTTGTACTGACTTCGCTAGTGTTTTTTATGTAGCCTGAAGCTCCCAACTGCCATCCCTGAAGCTCCGAGCAAAAAAAAAAAAAAAAAAAAAAAACTAGGCAAATATCTAGAGGAGTTGACTGTACCCCCAGAAGACCTCTGCGTATCCCCTTAGGCAGTATGATAACTAGATCACTGGAAGAAATCTTCCATGGAGCTGGTACTGTTTACACGGGGATTTAGGTCAGCTTTACTATGTCTCTCAGGGATGTGGATTTTTCACACCCCAAGCGACGTAGCTGGGTCGATCTAATTTTCTAGTGTAGACCAGCCCATGGATACTGAGAAATTCACAAATGAGATGGCTGGAAACAAATAAAGAAAAAGGTTATGATTTATTATTTTCTGTTTGTTTACTTTGGGTTAAGGGAAATAGAACAGACAATAGCACCCATGACTAAGCAAGAATCGTATACCAAACTAAAGAGGCAGTAGTTGTTGGAGCAGCAGTGCACAACTCAGGAAATAAATAAACTCAGGCTTTGGCTACACTGGCGCTGTACAGCGCTGCAACTTGCTGCGCTCAGGGGTGTGAAAAAACACCCCCCTGAGTGCAGCGAGTATAGCGCTGTAAAGCGCCAGTGTAATCAGAGCCTGCAGCACTGCACGCTCGCTCGCAGCACTGCAAGCTACTCCCCTGGGAGAGGTGGAGTACATACAGTGCTGCGAGAGCTCTCTTGCAGCGCTGGCGGCGCGACTACACTCGCGCTTCACAGTGCTGCCGCGGCAGCGCTGTAAAGTCCTGAGTGTAGCCAAGCCCTCAGGAAGGAATTGAGATTTTTCACTCAAGGAACAAGATAAGTTATGTGCAAGCACAGCTCTCAGTGAAACAGCCATGAAGTTGGAGTTCACCATGTTGGAGATGGCAAAAGTGGAGATGGAATGAGAATTAATATAAGAACACCCATACTGGATCAGAC